GGGTGGGGACGTTCATCCCCAAAAGCTTGCTCCCTGCTTTCTGCGGGGACCTTGGCCTTATGCCCAGGGGTGGAGACGTCCGTCTCCATCAGCTTGCCTTCTGCGTTGCGCCTACCCTACGTGTTGTGAACGTTCATCCCCGTGAGCTTGCCCCCCGTTGTTCATCTCTGAAAACGTCCGTAGGGTGGACCTTATGGTTCATGGGCCAATCCCTATTGGGCCATTAACCCAACACAAGTCCCTCACTTCTGATGTTCCGAGCGTGCGCGGTACATAAGGAAGTAGGATTGAATCCGACGTACGTCGCCATCTAATGCCTTTGGCGCCTCCCATGTCATAGGCAGAGGGGTACCTCATTAAAAACTCCGAGGATGAAAAAACCCTATGGGAAAAAATCCTAACAGAGGAAAAAGAGTACACTCCGCTCTGCCATGAGGAAGAGAAGATGCTTCCAACGTACTGCCTTTAGCCGAAGCCCCTGACGCGACGGTTGCCTGATGTATCCTTGATCTCCGGACGTCATGCCTTATTCCCTGGATCTTCGTACCCGGTTGGGGACGTACGTCTTCCCGTCTGAGGAGAGGGTCTTCTCTGTTGTTTGCCTTTGGGGACGTTCATCCACCTTCCCACCGCACCGACAACTTTAGTGCATTGGTTAGTGTTGGATGGGGAACGTTTTACCCTCTTGGGGACGTTCGTCCACCTTCCCACCGCACCGGCAGCTTACCGCACTGGTTAGTGTTGGATAGAGAATGTTTTATCCTCTTAGGGACGTTCGTCCACCTTCCCACCGCACCGGCAGCTTACCGCACTGGTTTGTGTTCCGAGATGGAGAACAGGTTTGTCCTCTTGGCCTCTTGGGAACGTTCGTCCACCTTCCCACCGCACCGGCAGCTTACCGCACTGGTTAGTGTTGGATGGAGAACGTTTTATCCTCTTGGGGACGTTCGTCCACCTTACCACGACACCGACAGCTTACCACACTGGTTAGTGTTCTTGGATGGAGAACAGGTTTATCCTCCTGGGATTCCCTGACCTCGGGAGTTATGTCTCCCTCTTCCCCCATTTTTTTGGGAGGAAGGAATTTAGTGAAATGGTGTCACTGATAGGACTTCTTCCAGCAGCATGTCCGTCCATGGTGTGGAGGAGGAACGTCCGACGGGCGTATACCTTGCACCCCGAAGATCACTTGATTTCCAATTTCTTCTTGCGGTCGTCCAGCCCGAGGGATCTGTCAAGGCGTTTATCGGCATGGCGATAATCGGCGTTTTGGACTTTTGCCTCCCGCCGATCGTCCCTACGCCATGTGAATGGTTCCTGGTTCGGCTGTTTTCGGTTCTGAGGGATCGGTCTCTTTGTGAACTCTCCGAGGTAGCCCCTCCAAACAAGTCCGTCGATGGCCATCCTCAGGCTGTTGCAGTGATTCGTGTTGTGCCCTTTCGTGCGATGGTATTCGCAATAGGCATTGAGATTCTTTCCAGTCAGGCCACCGGCGACGGGCGGCTCTTCCAGCATACCTTTGTCCTTGATGGCCTCAAGGATTTGGCTCACCATGAATGCCAAGGGGATGAGTCCGGTAAACTCCCGCCGGTCGTCGGATGGAGGACCCTGGGTTCCCCAAGGGGCGTAGCCACCGCTCATCTTCTTCTTTTTCATCGTTGGAGCTTCTGCTGGCATCGCCCCCAGACGCTCTGCTACCTTTCGGATCGTAGGGGCGGCCACCCCATCTCTCTGGGCGATCTCCTCTTCGCCCACCGCATATCTCTGTGCCCTGGCTAGTGCCTCGGCATAACTACTCCTGGGGTTCCTCTTCAATTCCAGGTAAAGATCCCCGGTTACAAGGGCGTTAGTGAAGAGGGTGATGGTCGTGTTCTCTGTGAGGTCTTTGACCTTCAGGATTTCATCCCTCCACCTTATGAGGAAGGTGGATAGAGTTTCTTCCTTCCCCTGGCGGACGCTCGTCAACCAGCTGAAGTGCTTCCTCGGTTTGGAGCTGGAGATGAACTGCGCCATGAACTGTCTGGAGAGTTGTTCAAAGCTATCAACGGATCCGGGCCTGAGCTACCCGAACCACTCCTGCGCCGGCCCCTGAGGGTGCTGAAAAACAGCATGCAGATGGCCTCATTGGAGGCTCCCAACATGGAGAGTTCTCCTTGGAATGAAAGTAGGTGGGCTTTCGGGTCACCCAGTCCCATTATAAGTTAGGGCGCCGGCCGGCCGAATGCCCCTTGGCATCTCCGCTGCCATGATTCTTGCAGAGAAGGGCTCATAGGGCAATCCTGGGCTGAGCTGGCTCAGTTTCCGTCCGTCGGTTGAGTTCATTGATCTTCCTTTGGAGATCCATGAGCATCACATCTCGATGTCGTTCGTCCCCACTCACATTTTGGGTACGCACGGCGTCAGCGCCATGCTGCCTGTTAATGACCCGGGCCTCCCGCCTCAAGCCGTTGATCACGGGGGTCTGCTCCCGGGCCGCGTGCTGCCCCGCTCCTCTGAAGACCCGGTGCCTGTTCTCCCCAGCTCCGCTCGTCTCCAAAGAGTGGACGTTCGTGCCGATCCTACTCTGGATCGAGGAGCTAGATTCTGCGGTCCTGTCTGTACGCTTTCCGAGCGTATGCACAGTGCGGATTGGGGAGAACGGGGTACGCTTGGTGTCAGCAGAGTACAGCCGCTCCGCCTCCCGTTCGTCCACCAAAAGACGGATGGTATCCGCCATCTCCCTCAGGGCATTAGGGTCCCCTCAGATCACGTGGGGAATCATGTCAATAAGCACCCCAAGGTCCCCGCGGCTCCACAAGTTGCTGGACTGGGCGCCTGCCGCCTGCTGGCGGGCTCTTCGGCTGTGTGACAGTCGTTCAGAGAGATCATAGGAGTTTCCTTCATTGTTCCTTGCCATCTTCCTTGATTTGAGCTTTCGAAAGTGGTTCTTCGTTGAGAGCTTGGTTTGGGAAGAGCTTTTTGATCAGTTCCCACAGACGGCGCCAGTGTTGAAGTTAATTCCGTCAACCCGTAGGCCCAACACGCTGCCCAAGGGTTTCGAGTGGAAGAATCAGATGATAGATGAGAGAAACAAGCAAGGAAGGCCCACTAAGAAGTCTTAGTATATTAATTTCAGTACAAAGGCTTGAGGTCGTTCGTTCCTAGCATACAAGGCATGAGGCCGTTCGTCCCTAGCCTACAAGGCGTGAGGCCGTTCGTCCCTAGCCTATGCTACGAGCTGATACAATTGCTATACTATTAGAATGCTTAGTTGTGAACTCTTTACAATGGAATAAATGCTACTATTTATACTACTAAGGGGTAGTCGGATGCGTTTACGTGGGGAGCTGTGGATGGCTTGGCCCCAACCATCAAATCTTCTGCATTAAATGCGCTTCTCACCAGAATCTTGGGTTCCCACCAACGGGTGTGGACGTTCGTCCCCAAAAGCTTGCTCCCTGCTTCCCGCTGGGTCGGGACGTTCATCCCCTAAAGCTTGCTCCCTGCTTCCTGCTGGGTCAAAGGGGTGGTGACGTTCGTCCCCAAAAGCTTGCTCCTTGCTTTCTGCGGGGACCTTGGCCTTAGGCTCAGGAGTGGAGACGTCCGTCCAGGGGTGGATCTGGCCCAGGGCCAGGGAGGGCCCAGGCCCATGCTCGAAAAAATATAATTATTTGTATATATATATATATATCATGTATATATTAATATAGTGTTTCATTCGTTATGATATAATAATAGAAAATGCCAAATTATGAACATCTGTCAAGTTGGTCCGGTGGAAGTATATTAACCATGCAACAAAGATATCAAGTTCGATTCCATGGGGATACTCTAGTTATAATTTTTCAATACAACATACGTTAAATTTTTTATACTCTCAATGTTTGGCTTTTAGAAATTGCTCTAAATAGGTGCAAAACGTTTTGAAATTCCAAAATATTTGGAATTTCAAAACCTTTTTACTACTATTTAGAGAATTCTCCCTTTGGCTTTTGGTAATTGGTCTGGAAAATTAATTAGTTCAATTCAATTGGCTTTTGAATATTATATTGAAAAATTAATTAGTTCCATTCATTAGAATTTCGAATATTAGTCTGGAAAATTAATTAGTTCAATTCAATTGGCTTTTGAATATTATATTGAAAAATTAATTAGTTCCATTCATTAGAATTTCGAATATTAGTCTGAAAAATTAATTAGTTCAATTCATTTGGCTTTTGAATATTAGCTTGAAAAATTAATCAGTTCGATTCATTAGAATTTCGAATATTACTCTGAAAAATTAATTAGTTCAATTCATTGGACTTTTAAATATTGATCTGAAAATTTAATAAGTTCAATGCATTGTACTTGGTAGGTGAAATTTAATTAGTTTACTTTTTTACATAGAGCATAGACTATGGTGTCAAAAGAAAATTGATTTTTGAGAAATCGACTTGAAAATTGGCACTGAATATATCAGTAACCGAGTCAATTTCGGTTCGGTATCTTTGGCTCTTTTAAGATAATTAAATTTTCGGTTCTGTAATATTTATTTTTTCGTTGACATTTCTGTAAAATTATTTAACTACATCTTGTCATTTTGACATTTTTTGCAAAATAAATTACGTAGTTAAAATTTGGCCCCACCTCAATGCAAATGCTAGATCCGCCCCTGCGTCCGTCTCCATCAGCTTGCCTTCTGTGTTACGCCTGCCCTACGTGTTGGGGACGTTCGTCCCCGTGAGCCTGCCCCCGTTGTTCGTCTCTAAAAACGTCCGTGGGTGGACCTTATGGTTCATGAGTCAATACCTGTTGGGCCATTGGGGGGCCATTAACCCAACGATTCCAGCAACCGTAAAAAAGTGAAGCGAGTATATTGCTCCGTTTGGTAATGACCATCGAATAATTGGACGAGTATGAAACAATACAATGATCACAATTCTTTGGCGTAGTTCTGTAAATGAGTGGCTTTGACATTATTTGAACTTGTGGAATAGAGGTGTTGCAGAGTAACAGGTTATTTGGACTTGTATAGAGATGTATAATTCATTGAACATCTTATAAATTTAAGTTGGATGTAACATCACTACAATAATTTAATCAAAGTCTTTAATCAAATACGTAAGACCTGAGATCCTTGCATTTATTGCAGTTTGCCTCGCCACATCTTTTGAACTTTACGTTCTAATGAACTAAGCTCCTCCCCTAGTATGACATCTCGTTTGTCTGATACGTCTATTAAACAAATCCAAATACTTGCACCCGCAGATCGATACACATACATCTATTATGCGATCAATGTTCATAAATTATGAGTATATTATAATTTGTTGTTTTATATTTATAAAAAATACTCCGTACATACCAAATGTTCATGAATCCTTATTAGATATGAATAAATAGCCCACCTTCAAATGCAAGTTGTTAAATTACCATCAGATGCTATTTTACTTCAACAGAGGGGCTCTATTGACTAATGACTTGGACTCATGATCAACACCGTCAAGCTCGATCATTGCCTTCTCTTTCGCTTGCCCCCATAACACCGTATAAAATCCAACTGAACTGATAAAAGCTCCAATCATACTGAACAACAAGATAATTACACACACATAAAGTATCAAAATTTGATGTTTCTTCTTCGGAAGTTAAACTAGTAGACCGTCACAAAGTCCTATATAGAAGTAGTATTTATACTAAAGGATGAGATCGAAGTGTTTCTACTCTGCATTTCAGTTGTTAACAAAACAATTAACTTCTACGCATTTTTGCGAACTCAGCCTTAGTAGCTTATTGTGTAGTTTAAAAAAAGTCAAAATAAGTGGGCCTAGAAGAATGAAAATGTTGCAAAAGATTGTTTGAAGATATACCTTCCCAAATGAAGAGGAGATCCCAGGAATAGGATCTCCATAATTGCTGCAATAATAACTCCCATAGGTTTGAACACGGCTACATAAAGAGGACCCTTCTTCTCCAAACACCAACTTATGACATTGGCACGAAACACAGTCCCACACACAGCCTATAATGTATGTGTTTAATCTAGAATTTATCAGTTGTTATAAAATTAAGTTTTTACTAAAATTTTACTAGCAAAAAGATAGTCCTTACTGAGAAAACAATGGCTATAACTCCAATGCTTGGAAGCATCAACCAAGCATCAAGATTTCTCTCAGATATTGCAGAGTAAATTACACATTGCAAGGTTCCAAAGACGCAAAAGAAGAACACTACCGTGGGTTGCTCTGGGTACACTTTCAAAGTAGCTGTCTGCATTTACAACAATATAAATCTACGAGACCATTATACGTAAACGGTTATAATAGAGATCCACATGTTCAGTGCACAAACAAAATCTCCAAATTACCTAAAATGGATATAATTGACACTATTACCTGATCTTTTAGATATTACTTTCTTCAGTTTCTTGGATTTGTGCAAAAAACATAGTTTTAGTTTATTCAACTAGCCACGATATTATCAACTTAAGCTCATTCTGCCAAATTTGCTGCACCATATGGGCTCCAAGTCATGTGACCGTGAACTTGAAAATGATGAAGGTATTTACCCAAAGATGATTAAAAATAAAAAACATTATTTTACTGAATAAAAGCACTATTTTGTTTACTTGTGCTTTTTTGAAGTGATTTACTTTCATGGTTATTGGAAAAGTGTTCAATAAGAGTTTTAAAGTAGAACTGACTTTAAGATGTAGAAGTTTGACTTTTGGTTCAAAACAAGTAACTTCAGTGTACTGTTTGCGGGAAATATTCCTGAAAAAAAGCAGTTTTAAGAACTGACCTTCCTTGCTTTTAGCTTTTAATTTCGAAGTGCTTAAAATTAAATAGAAGTGCTTACTAAACAAATACTCCGTATTATTTTTAGCCTTTTCTAAGCACAGACCACGGGTATGCTACCTAAAAGGATTGAAAAACACTCTGGTAATCAATCTAGGCCCCACATCACCTGAAGAATATTCCATCCAGAAGACACAAGGCAAGTGAGAGTGATGAGGCACCCTCCAAGTACCCAGGTTGGGTTTTGTGACAAAAGAGATGGATGAGATGAACCAGAAGAAGGTGAAGAACCAAAGATGGTTGGTCCTTGATACAGAGTCATCACCATGGCCCCTGCAATTGCTACTACGGTACCAACCGATTTTGCCTGACTAGTAACTTCTCTCAAATCTAACCTCTCCATCCTATATATAAATTCATTCCACTTCAGAAAAAATACTGAACACTCGCAATGAATTAGAGTACGTACATGTATATTAAAACATGGATTCATCCTTTAGGAGTTGCTCAAAGTTTTTAGGTTTGTTTTTAGTACTTTTATATGAGTACACAGTTTGTGAGCACATTTTTTAGGCTTAATATGCCCTTTAAGATGATATATCATTACAGCCAGGGGGTCTTGAAGTTTGTGAGCACAATTTTTAGGCTTAATTAGATAGGATCATAGGAGTACTTTTTTAGAACTTGATAGGAACTTAAAGTATTAACTTGTGTATAAGGTATATGGTTGCATATCGCCCGAAAGGCCACTAGACACTAGTATTATACGTAGTACTTCATATATTTCATATTTTCCAGTTGTTCCGTACTTCCGTACTTCCATAGGAAGTAGTATTGTAACTCCCTCCATCCCAATATTATTTCTTGTTTTGATTGCACACAGATTAAGAAAGTGAGAAATGTGTGGCCTAAAGTTGCGTAGAGGAGACGGAAAATGGGGATAAATGCATTGAACCACAATTTTTTTGTCAAAAATAGAAAGAAGAGTTTATATTGGGACAGACAAAATAGGAAAGCATGAAGATAATATTGGGACTGAGAGAGTATTAATATTGCTTCTCATTACAGTTTCATGAGATTTGTGAAATTATTACTATCCAAACTTTTTCATAATTCTCAGTCTCTCAGACTAAAAATGTCAAACTGATAGGATGCACATATAGATAGGTTTACGTCATAACTGAACTTGTAGTGTTTAAAAAATTGATCATAGTTGAAGAGCATAATTTCTCTCATACCTGAAAATGACGGCAAGAAGAAAGGTAAAACCAGGCATCAAATTTCCGATTCCTGCGGCCAGTGTTGCAGAGGTGTATTTGATCCCTGTATAAGCAAGGATCTGCAGCAAACAAATCCTGCACTAAATCCCACTGCCTTAAAATAGAAACAATCTTCACTCCATATGAAATCCAATTACCCAAATAAGATATATCTGATCTCATAGCATGTAAAATAAACACAATACCCAAGCAAGCCGAGGATGAAGCATCTACTGAGAATAGAGAAGGTAATCGGAAGAGGATGAGTTCTGAAATGGTGAAAAAGAGAGAAACTTTGGCGTGGTCAGAGTGTGTCAATTCAATCACTGATCTGAAGAAGAATGATGGATGAGACATTGAGAAGGAAGGATAAGATAAGAAATGGATACCTGTGGGTACGGAAGAAGGCGAAGTAGGGAAGGAGGAGGAGAGTGCCGAGAGAGTTGTAGTAAGTGATGTAAACGAGGGTTTTGAGGCCGGCATTCATGGCTGCTTTCCCCAGAATCGTAATCGACATCTCACAGCTCTCCACCATCAGCATTACCGCAAAGGGAACCACTTCCTTCCTCACAAACTGGGTCGCCATTGCACCGATTGTCCAATTTCTTTATCAATCGGAAATAACTCTGATATCCATATCCCCCCACTCTTACTAAGTCGAATATCTGGGAAGTGGGGACTAGCCTGAAATCATTTCTGCGTTTTCAGTTTTCACCTCAGATCAGTTTAGTGATTCAGCTCAAAATAGTTACGTAGTACGTTATCCTCCGTACAAAATAGAGAAAAAGTAGTCAATCTCTATTTTTAATGACAATTGACTTTCAATATTTGTCAACCCATAATTTCAAATCATTAAAATACTGTATACTGTAAACATAATTAAATATTACTGCACCCGACCTAACTTATGTTATCATAGAAAATTAACATGATCTTTTAATCAATAATTAAATTAAATAATTTGAGTATATTTAGAGAAAGTAATTTGGATGGATATATAATACCGAAATAATGCTAAGTAAAGATATATACGAAATTAGGGTTGAGTTAAAACTACGTAGTATTTACCAAAATATAACCAAAATATAATCAAGCATTCTAATAGTATTTTGGTAAATAGTTTTAACTTAGCCCTAATTTTGTATATATATTTTTATTTAACATTATTTTGAAAAAAAAAACTAATATAATAGAGTAGTCGATGGTAAATGTAGTGTTATAACTGAATTACTTTTGATTAAGTTATCATTTAAAACTTTGGAATGGCACATCCACCAAAGACATGTGGAATTCTTAATCCCAAATGGAGGAAGTACAAAACTAAAATTTATTAATAAAAAATGGTTAAAATTACTATAATGGAGTATATATCACTATTGTGTACATTTGAGAATTTACCCAACATAGGTCTAAACGAATATGTGTATTCAAAATAGGAGTAATTATAGTCACAATATCAAACTTTAAATATAACAATATTTTTCAAGCTTGACAGTAATTACTTCTATTTGGTTAATAAAAATATGACAATTCTATTTTGAAATTCTGAAACATTTATACTTTTATTTGGGGAATTTTCCCTATCTGCTTCTACTTTTAAATTAATTTAATTTCGATATATTAAAATTAAAGAGACCATCCTACTATTTACAATATATAACTTAAACCGATGTATTTGGAAAAATATCATCTAAGTCCATTTATTTAAAAATGACCAATCCAGCCATTTAGCTATTTTTTGACATGTTATAGCAAGTTTTTGCAAAAAAACTAAGAGAATCGTTTAATTTTTTTAAAAATGAGCAATTGTAAAAATTTGAGAGTGTCAGAATATACGTTTTTGTCATTTTTGAAATATTTGTATGTCCTCCATCTTTTAAAAAGTTATTACATTTTTTAAAAAAAAATACAATTTCATTTTTTTATTTACTTTTATTTTTGGTTTCACATTTTTAAACTACGGAGTATGTATCTACTTTTGAAATTTTACCATTTTTGTGTTTCCATTTCTATTTTTTTCATTTTTATGATTTTTTAAAAATGTTATGAATATTCTTAATTTTTATCTAAAATGACCTACTATAGGAGATCAAGATAGTTGGATTCACCTAGTTTTAAAAAACACGCTTTTGAGATACTTTTTTAGTATAAGGACTCAAGTGATCTTTAAGAAATTAAAATTTAGTGTTTTTATTGATGAAATACTTTTTGACATAATAAAAAAGAAAAAAGCTGTTTTACGCATCCCTACTTATAGGCTTATAGCTTTTAAATTTAAAAGCTTAAATTTAAGTAGAAGCATATGTTTCTTACTTTCTTTTACTACCTCCATCCCACAAAGAAGTTCCCACTTTCCTTTTATGGATGTCACAAAAAGAAGTTCTCGTTTCTATAAAAGCAAACCACTTTTAATCAAAAGTCACAACTACCCTTACTTTTTACCCATTTTTTGTTTGATTTGACATAAAGTAAGGATATACTTGAAAAGTCAAAACAAAACTCTACCTTACATAAATATGTGTGTAAGTCAAACTAGGAACTTCTTTACGGGACGGAGGGAGTATATTGTAAGACTTGTAATAACTCACATGAAACCTGAGTTCAAACAACGAGACAACAACCAACCATTCCAGCTCACTGGGTGGAAGGTTACCGTGTCCTAGCGGAGGTCTCGGGTTCGTGTGGTGGGAGGAGCAGTCTGAAAGGTGATCAAATCCTAACTCGAACACCAACTCCACTATTAAACATAAAGTCAATACCTTTTGAAAAATAATGCGACTCACTAACACAATATGGGTACTTGTAAACCTACAATAACAGAATAAGCTTCTTCGTCATCTATCCTAGCCTCAACTTGACTCCAAATAATTAAAAAATAAACAAACTAATATTTGATCCTAAAACCCTAAAAACAACGCAAACTAATATTTGATCCTAAAACCCTAAAAATAACGCAAACATACGAACTAAACCAAACATGAAGTTCTACTAAAAAAACATGCAACACCAAACAAATATAAATACTAGAGTCAAGAACCCGCCTCCTCATTTTTTACCCATCCAAATCTGAATAACTCAGATTGATCTCCTTTTCCGTGCTTCTCCCAACTCGACCACTTCTCCCGTCACAACTTCATGACAATGCTCCTTCATCTTTCTCAATGAAGTCATCTCTACTTCTCTATCCCAACAACTGTTCTACTGTTGTAATACACGTCCTTGGCCATGTTCGCTTTGCGAAACTCAATCGTTCCACACTAAGGTGGCAAGTAAAACTCGCACAAGAGGCAAAAAGTTGTAGGGCATCAACATTCCTATCATATACATAGGGGTGGACCCGATCAGCGGTATCGAACCGGACCGGAACCAGACCCGCTACAGTGCGTGACCGGACCAGGTACCCGACCGAGTATTTCTGGACTCGATCCCGGGTTTGGTTTTTGGGGACCGGACTGGGCGGACCCGGTCCCGGTCCCAACGGCTAATTTTTTATTTATTTATTAAAGTGCTCCGGAACCGGAACCGGCTGGTAGACCGGAACGGAACCGGGTCCGTTGAAATCCGGTTCAGTTCCGATCTTCACATTTAATACCCGGGACCGGAACCAGCCGGTCCAGGAACGGAACTGGGACCAGGTCCATTCATAAGTTATACATTGTGATTTTAGGAATAGCACATGTTTGATAACACAACTTTTAACTTTTTGTAAACAAAAAGAGGTGAAATACTTGGATTTTTTACAAACAATCAAGAGCACTGTATTTGTCCTAAAATTAAAATATTTACAGAACCGAGTCCACTTTTTGTAACTGAATGCCAAAGAATGTGAAATAAACTTGAAAAAATAACTGGATCAGCAGTATTACTATTTACACATGGGTAAGGTTAAAAGATGCAAAAGGATGGAAATAACCATCAAAATCATCATAATGCAACACCCCAAACATATAATTTATACAAGATTCCGTTAAATGAACAGAAAGAAGACTAAACCTTCCTTTTCCTTCTCAGGTTTGGCATTGCAAGAAGAGAGCTTGCAGCCCCACTGAATATCAAATCATTGTCATCCTGTGAATTCACCACCTTGGAGCCGTATTCGTTTGCAGTTTCATTAACATTTGCCTCAGTTTCAATATTATCTTCTTGATCAGAAGACCGGTGGGGAAAATCTGCACTTTCCTGTGGAGTTGTTGTATTATCATCTCCAAAGCCTCTGTTTGTTTCATCCTCTTCATCCAAACAAAATCCACCCCCTGACTCGAGGTAATCCTTGGATAATTGCTCCACAGGATTGTTACTCTCACCGTCAGCCAGTTGAACCGTATCTGATTCCATTTCTTTCCATTCCATTGACTCTCTTCGTGTAAGCTCTTCATCACTGATAGAATGATCGACTTTGCTGTACTCATCATCTTCTAGATCATCAGTATAACTCACAATTTTCCGGGGCCGCACTGACTGCAGGATTCATAAAAGGCCATTAGAAGTAGATAATTTGTGAACAGTGGCAATAGCACAATATGGCTAAAAAAGCCAGTGTAGGACATAAGTCCCACTTATGTACAGGTTTGATAAAAGATCCCCCCCCCCCCCCCCTCAAAGTCTTGTTTGAAACACTTCTTTGGTAAAAAAAGAGACTTGTTTGATCAAACAAAGCTAGTTTTACATGTAATTTCCTACAAAACTGCCAAAACAAACTGTCTAGAACTCACTCCCAAAAGAGCAGCCGATTAGGAGGAGGCAACACCTTGCTTAGAAGCCACCGGTCAAGCCCATACTTGACCGGTGTGGGATCGCTACATTTAGTTCCTAAAAGGGAAACTGTTTTGGGACAAAAAGGGCTAAACCTCAAATAATTTGGGATGGATGATGTAGATACAGAAAGTAAAACTTACCCTTCTTACATGTGACACTTCAAGCTTCTCACTATCTATGGCTTCCCCCGCATCACTATCAATTCCATCTGCAGAACTGGTTTCATTCGATCTAGAACGAGAAATCTTTTTCCTCTGCCTTCCCCCCAGACATCCCCCTCCTGCTTTGGGTCTTTTTCTACTACCTGCCCCTTCACTCTGTAAAAGATCTCCCTTACTTTTTCTTGGTTTCTTTGCAGATGCTTTTTTGGCATTCTTATTATCATCATCATTGCCATTTTTAAAGTTGTTCCCCTTCTCATCATCATTAGGTTTCACTTTTTGCTTCCTTTTCCTTGCAGGCGTATATTCTGCAGTATCATCCATCAACTCCAATGACTGGCTGCATGTCATTCCTTTGACTGCCTTTTTAATCCTTGTACTACGAATTTTTGCAAATCTTTCATTGAAAGCATAGAATGCTTCTAAGCGAAGTTGCGTCTGAAGAGTTCACAAAAAAGATATCATGTCACTGTTGCTTGTTTTTCCTCAAGTCCAAAAAAATGCATAACATAGCATTATTATTACTACTCTAATTATTATTATTATTATTTTATTTTTAATACTACGTAATATTTTCTTTATCACTGATGTAGCAGTTTGTACAATATTATGTTTTCACAAAGCCTAGGATTGTTGATCACGATTACTAGTTACTACGTAGTAGATAATAATAGCAAGTTTAATAGTAAAACCATGATTTGAAGTCCCTATTTGATCTAAAAGAAGAGCAATTTTGTTAAAGGATGTACACTATGAGATGGGGCATTAGTGGGTGAAGTGATTGACCTCATGTTTATTGTACTCCTTCAGCACAGGTGTTATCAACTCATCTGTCTTCTGG